TTTTTTTTTTTTTTTTTTTAATTTATGTTTCAATTTTTTAATACACTTCTTCCTCCGTTGTTGCTTGATAACACGTGGTCACGTGTGTGAATGTTCTTCTAGATTGTAAATCTCCATGATCCACGGAAACTAAAGGATTGATGGAAGCGGTTGCATCGCAAGAATCAAAGAGCTCGTATTAAACGGATTCTTAACTTGTTGGAATGCATAAATGAATGAATCCCGAGTGTGAATATGCGAATGCGCGCGCGCGAGGCAGAGATAAGGGCATATGTGTACGAATTATAATCATAGTATCGAATAGTAAACTACGAGACTTGGGTTCGTAATTTGTGCATTTAAAAAGCGATTAACTAATTACCATTGAATGTGATCTGTCGATCGGTGGATATACATATATGTGTACACGCGCGCGCATTTGATATAGGCAAGCGTGCATGTTGTGTATATACAGTTTTATGGCTCGGTCCACGATCGACAAAACGGATACCTATTTTTAGTAGGGCATTCCCATCCGAAATTACAACGGTGTTACGTTTTCTGTATAATAGTGTATATATATATATATTATACATATATAAATATATGTGTGTATATATATGTACTACACATAATATTTGCAAAGAATATTCTGTTTGATATTATCGATTGTTGAACGTTGTTATTTACTTTCTCTTCGAGGCACGCTGTACTTTATTGTATCATAAAAAAAATAATTGTACTACTATTAGTAATTATAATTGTACTATTGAAAATTAATTATTATGATCGCCAACTCGTTCATTATCATTGATCAGTAATGGTTCGTTTGTCATCTCTCAATGTGAACATAGCGTTTTCTCATTAATGATCATTCGTAAGATATCATTCTTGCCGTCGTCAATTGTCTTCGTCGTTTTCACGTTTCTTATTACTATTGCTGTTATGATTACTATTGATTATAGTTATCACTATTGCCATTGGTCGCCGTCATGGTCATGGTAGTGTCATGATTGTCATGGTCATTGTCATCATTATCATCATCATCATTATTATTATCATTATTATTATTATTATATTATTATTATTATTATTATTAATATTATTATTGTTATCATTACAATTGCTATTCTATCATCGCCATCGTCACTTTCATCCCACATCGATATAAATAACATTTTACTCGGTCCCTATGCTCTTTAATTATGTGCACAGATGCAGAATGAAAGAAATACACGCGCAGGCGTGCGCGCATACACACATACGTATATTCATTCTTTATTCTCTATTGTATGTAATATTTTTATTTTCTATTAATTGAACGAGAGGGCACATACATAGTTTCGAAAAGAATGATACATGCGTAAAAATGCTCTTCCGCGGAGCGTCACTAAAATTATGCTGAAATTATTTTTTGTATCGAATTATAAGAGGTGAAGAGATGTTGATTATTTCGACCTCTTCATGGGAAATGTAAAATGGTGCTCGTTCGTGTACGTTCAATTGTAATTTCCCTCTTGTCCACGACGCTTCGGGGAATGGTCGCGAATAAATAATATATTTATAGTATATTACGAATTTAATTTTTTCAGACGAGACTATAAGAGCGAAGGGCAAGGGGATTTGCCTAGTTTTTAGCATAATTCTTGAACGATAAAGAAGATCATTGATAGTGTAAAAATACATCAATATTTATTGTACATAGAGTTAAAAAAAACTACTAACAAATAAAAATGAATCAAAAATAAAGGCTTCACGATGATATTTTGTACGAATAAAAGACTTGTAAGAAACTTGTGTAGAAAGCGTGTACCTGATGCACGCATGGCAAGACGGACTTCGCACTTTTCTAATTTCGTCCACAATTTTTATCTTATCATTTTTTAAGATTGACGTATATACGTTTTATCTTCGTCTTCTTCTTCTGAACAAAAATATATCAAATTTATCAAATTGTCGATTAATAAGTCGATCGGATAAGATTAAGATTACCTTAACTTTCGCTTCCTTTTCTGTTCTTCTCGTCTTCTCTTTTCAGCGTTTGCCAAGTCTATATATTTCTTTCTTTGTTCCGAGCTCATTCGGGTCCATAATTTTCCAGCTGCTCGTGCAATCACGGTTACAGGTTCCCTTGGCTTTTTACTCCGTAACCGTAGGAAGAAGATGATGAAAGGATTTGTCGCACGACATTTTACGATTTCTTTTCTACCGTTTCGCAGGTCGGAACCATTCGCAACTCTTTTATTCCTTCCAGATCGATCATCTACGCTACCCAAAAGCAAAACATACAAAGTACATTCTTATGTATTACTTTTGTGCGTCGTTAATTAGATCAATGAGAACAGGGTAAAATAGAAATTATCTTACCTGTCGTCACTTTCTCGATTCCGTTCTTTCCTCTTCTGTGCGGATCCGCTGTTTCCCATCCTCCTCGGAAACACTATCACGACTGTTCAACAAAAATTCTTGTCGTACCCCGCATTACTTGACAATTTTTTTTTACAAAAACTTTTCTTAAAAACTGAAGTTGAAGTGATACCGCCAATGGGAAGCGTATTTCCTTTGTTTCAATGCAGAAACAAAAACAAGCAAGTGAGGATAAATATTTAAATTCACGAATGAACTTTTCGAATGGATACTGTAAGGGACATTAACTGAAAATACGAAGAACAGAGACTAGAGAAGGAAAAGAGAGAAATTGAACAATGATTAGAAGACAAACTTATATTTCCCTGTTTCATTGAACATATGGAAAGTACCTGTTTTACAATAGCAACACCATTTTCGATAAAACGACATTTTCTACAATACAACAGTAAGTAGAAAATAGCATTTTGATTTATTAGAGATTCACAAACGAGGTATAAAGGTAATTGGTATTTTACAAATGACAAATGATCTATAAAATTATTTCTATAATTCTCCACCAGCTTGAGCAGCTTTCTTTGCTTTTTTGTTTTTATTCCACTTGTCTCCACAGTAGCAGGCATTTTTTTGCGCATCCATGTAACTCTTGCATCCTAAAGCAGTCGTACCAGTGAAAAGCATTTTTGCAGCAGCTTTACACGTATTTATTATCGCAGTCGATTGATATCCATCGCAATATTTGTATAGGCATCTTTTAAATTCCAAATCGCATTTCTCTTTATCTGAGTTACAAGTATCGTAACAAATGTCATGCGCGTCGCAACATTTCGTCATTTCCGTGAGTGGCAGATACTCTTGGTTTATCTAAAAATTGTTAAGTCAATTAAAATTTTTATATTTTGCACATGAAAGTGCAATTTTTTTTTTTGTAGAATTACTTACTTCAATTCCTAAAGAACCACAGCCATTACTTTGGGGTTTATGATTCCAATCCGGTTTCGGAGTGACTCCTGAAATCGTCACAAACTTCGTATTATTTTTATTTCGTCTTATTAAGCGACAACCAATTAGATTTAACAACGTGTCATTACAGTTTCTGATATAGTTAAATTTTTTTTAAAAAACATACGATCTTAAATATTTCTCAACACCAATTTGCTAAAATTATTTACAATCGTTACAAATTATATAATATATTAGAAAAGATAAAAGTATAGATAGAGTTATATATAGATGTATATAGATGATACTACAATACATCATGACGTGTACATTATCATCGTCTTACATATTTTTATCGGTTAATACCGCATCTTAAGATAGTCTATGATAGTATAGAATTAGAAACTTAATAGAGTACAATAAAAGTAAAAAGGAAAAATAAGTTTAAAAGTAGAATAAGAATATAATGATTAGGTTATATGATTAGATTACATATACCTCCTGGACATTGAAAGATACAGTTTTCTTCCACTGCTGCGTCGAACACTTCATGTATGTCTTTAATTTTTCTAGCTACAGTAACTGCATTCTCAAAGAAATCTTGAAATACCGTTTCTGCTGCTAATACTGCGTCCTTTAAATTCGATAGTAAACCAGCACCGTAACCTGACCATGCATAAGCGAGAAAAGTCAGAATGTACACTAGAGCCTTTCGATACTGGGAAAAATCCATTTTTTATAATTTTGCTGCACTTACTGACACACTATTATACCGGTTTGACCGGATATTTTTAGGTAAATTGACTCATATAAATGTATATTCAATCGCGGAGGTGACAAACGAAGAAATAGTTCTCACATTACATTGTACTCTCGTCATGCAATATATACGTACGTACGAAAATGCACGTTTATTTGAATGGAAATCGTGAATGATCTTTTACTCAAATAAGAAATTAGCAAGCATTTATTTTTAACTTGCTTAACAATAATTATTCGCAATTAGTTTTATTATGGAAATATAAGGACAATTATATATATTCTTTGTCGTGCAAATAATAATCTTTATTAATTTAGACAAAAGAAACAACAAATAATTCTAACAAGTTAAGTAGTACAAAAGTAACATGTTAAAACATTTTTTGTAATTCTCCTTTCTCGTATAATTTCTTCACGTCTGTTCCACCTCCCAAGCATACTCCGTTTACAAATACTCTAGGTACTGTTCTAGCTCCAGTCATTTCACCTAATATAGATTGGATTTCATCTCCGTCATCCCTTTCATTTAATTCGATAGACTTGTATTTCTTTTGCAATTTGTCAAAGATCTGAAATAAAAGTCATGTCAAGTGATATTGAAATGAAAATAGGAAAATTATTTGGTTGATACCTGCTTAGCCATTCTGCAATATGGGCAACTCGTCTTAGAAAATATCACAATGGTATGAGATGCAATAAGTTGATCAACTTCATCTTTCGTTGCAGGCATGACGACCTCTTCTGCGCTGGAAATTGATAAATCCATCATGTTAAATTGGTAAAATCATTGTTGTAATAACGTAACAAATTCTCGTGTTATAACTTCTATCTGAATTGAATATTGTAAATGAATTAAATTTAGATATTGTTTTACTACATTTTTATAAGATTAAAAAAATAATTGTCAAATGCTACCTGTCTCAGCATTTTTCTCGCCATCTGTGTAAACCAAGTTCTTTCTAAAAATTATACTCAACATGTCACTGATAAAACCTAACGAAATTTTATACATGTTGATTTAAAAATTTTAGGTGGAAACGAAATACATATATAGCGGTTACAGGAGGAATGATTCTCTCTCTCTTTAATGCGAAGTTCTCTTTTTTATGCTGTTAAACAAAATACTGTCGTGAAAGAATCGATTTCGATATCAAAAGAAATCGAGTATTTAAATACGAATTCCATAATATTTAGTATGTAATATTAGTATTACACTTCTTAACACTACATTATTTTGTGTAAAAATGAAATTACTATAAATTTGACATGCTGCAATATTTTTTAAAAATTAACATGCATTGCATTTTTCTTTTAATCGACAAAGAGATTTGATATATAAATTATGCCTGTGGATGGGCGTACACATATGTATAAATTATTATTATTCTTTTAGTAGATGAAAATACTTACAATTATTGTTTAGAATGTTACACAGTGTTCGAACTTGCTATACATAAGTTGTAATGAAGTATAGATATATGTTTCTTTATATATGTTTTTACTACTATACTGTTTTCATGAAAAACTTAAGCTTTCCTTGAAACTTAAGCTATGAGGAATTGAAAATATTTTTAGAATTTACGTTTTATCGCGAAACATGAGTCTCTTTCTGAAAAGTCTCTTTCTTTTTCTTTTTGATCCTTTTCCACTGAAATTTGATTAACATTAATAAAAAAAACCCTTCAACAAAATTCTCCAAACGAAAACGTGCAATTAATTTCTGGAAAATTGTAGAATTAAAATACTGTATTTGAAAATTAAGGTTCCGTAAGAATCAACAAGAACAGAATTTTGTATGTCTAAGGGACATTTAAATAATTTATGTTAATGTGGCCCTAAGTATTGATAGAGAAGGTTTTCAATTTCCACGCTAGATGGCACATTGTCATGATGTAGTTTTGAACGCCTCTTTAAATTGACAACTCAGCGACTATTGTGTTGAAAGTGTTCCCTTGACACTTGACGTTACAGATTATTGAGTATTTTCTAAGGTTTCTTCGGGGTAAAGATGGTGTAAGTGTAAAGGACAAGTGTTGTAAAAAAAGATGGGCAGGATCGTGAAAATGGCCTATCCAGGAGGTGGTTTACACGTTGTCGAGGGTGAGCTCTGCCTCCTGGTAACGGCTATGAGACGAGGTGCCCGATGGTCATCTCACTCTCATCAGGTTAGAATGATTCTTGTCTTCACTCTTTTTATGAGAAAACATATGTTCTGTTTTCTACAGTTGTGATCTTACATCTATTAATTGAATTATCAGTAATATTTACATGTATACGTATGATTGTCACGTGGATATATTTTGATTGTCATCGGTTGTCAAACAGGTTGTAGTAAATAGTAGAATAATAATACATCGGATCGAATTGTTAATGCAATTATGATATGATTATTTTCAATTGAAATTTTTTTTAAATATTTGACTAATATTTGTCTAATCTGCATATTTCGTTGTCATTTTCAAGGATGATGATCAGGATGCTCTTATAAAAGGATTATTTAGTCTGAAAGACGTACTAAATGAGGCAAAAGATTTGTCTTATTTAGAGCCAGGTGTATTTTTAGCACCATTTCTAGAAATTATAAGATCAGAAGAAACAACCGGTCCTGTTACAAGTCTTGCCTTGTCTGCTGTTAATAAAATGATATCATATGGTCTTATAGGTATACACTCATTTTATCCACTAGAGGTATTTTCAAGAACATGTATTATATTGACATTTTTGTAGATTCTGATCATCCTGCAATAGCACAATGTGTAGAAGCTATCGCCGATGCTGTAACACATGCAAGATTTGTTGGAACTGATGCATCTGGGGATGGGGTTGTTTTAATGAGAATACTTCAGGTCTTGAGAGCTCTAATGTTATCACCAGCTGGGGATTATCTTTCCAATGAGAGCATTTGTGAAATTATGCTTAGTTGTTTCAGAATATGTTTTGAAACACGTCTCAGTGGTAAGAATTTTTATTATATTCAAATTTCTTCGTGATTTTAACAATGTTTGTTTGATTATAGAACTATTAAGAAGAACAGCTGAACATTGTTTGAGAGACATGGTGCAACATCTTTTTACTCGACTACCCCATTTTGTGGATGATACTAGAGTTTTATTAAATATGAAAGTAAGTTACTAAAACTCAACAAAATATAATATTTTAATGTTACGTTAATGTGTGCATATTTTTAGAAAATGAGAACAAACAGTATGGAAAGTAATCGTAGTAAAAATAGAAGAAATAAAAGTCATTTTAAGCAAAAGGCAAGGCAGAATATAGATAATGTAACAGATGTTGAAAGTCAACATATTGACATTCCAAGTCCAACTGATAGAGTCAGATCAGCTGGTTTGGTAACACCGGTTACATCAATGGGAAATATCGTTGATATGCAAGGTTCTTTGGATCAAGGTAGTGCTGAGAAAACAGAAGAAGAAAAGAATGAAAACAAGGATCATAATAAAAAAGATTTAAATAATATGAATGAAACCACCAAACAGGAAAATGAATCAGATATAAAAAGGGATAAAGAAGATTTAAAGGATACGAAAGAGTCTAAAGAAAGTAGTAACGAAATAGAGGACAAAACAAACGTTGCGAATGAAAAAGAGCAAGTTTCACAGAAAGAGGAGAAAGGTATAGAAAATATTCAAGTAGAGGAACACAATCAAACGAAGAAAATAAATTTAGTAAAGGAAGGAAATCGAGGTATTTATATTAATTTATATAAGTGATAATGGCCATTTTAATTATTATTTTCCTGAATTTGTAGAAAACCTGAAAAAATCAATTGACGACGAAAAGAATACAGAATTAATAAAATCTCCGGTAGGAAGTGTAGAGGATTTATCGGTAGATGAAAATAAAAGTAATGCATACAAAGTATCTAAAGCTAAAGAATCTGAACAAGTTGAAGAATATATAAATGCACAAGGAGTTCGTTTTATGCCACATCAGCAATTAGCGCCGTATGGTGCTCTGTGTGTCCGTGAATTATTTAGATTTCTTGTATCTTTGTGCAGTCCTCTTGATAAACAAAATAATGAAGTTATGACACATCTCGGACTCAGTTTGCTACAAGTAGCCTTAGAAATTGCTGCCGACTATCTTTCCAACTTTCCGTCATTATTGGTGCTTGTGAAAGATGATCTTTGTAGAAATCTTATTTTGGTAATGATGATACAATAATCATTTGTCTTTATTTTTGTTAAATTTATTTGAAAATAGGAACGTGTAATAATTATAATTGTATTTATCAGCTTCTTGGCACAGACCGTTTGTCGATTCTTGCAATAGATCTGCAAGTATCGTTCTTGTTATTTGAATCGCAAAGGGAACATTTGAAATTTCAAATGGAGCATCATATAAACAAATTGATGGAAATAGTAAGTTCAGATTCAAATAGGATATCATATGAACAACGTGAATTAGCTCTCGGTACGGATACTCTATGATACTATTAGTTACAGTTTCTGGAAGTGTAGACTTACATGGAATTAATTAATGGGAATTTAACTTTCCTTAATTTTAGAGGCCATTGTACAATTATGGAGAATACCAGGTTTACCAGCAGAATTGTACTTAAACTACGATTGTGGATTATATTCTACTAATTTATATGAAGAATTAATGAAACTTTTGTCAAAGGTGTGTAATACACTTATTTTAGTATGATAAACAAATGTGTGTCAAATGTCTTTTTTGTTAAAAACTCCACTGAATGTATGAATTTACTGAATCTACTGAATGTACTTTGTTATTAGAATGCTTCAGCGCTGATGGGTAATATGCAATACATGCAATTTGTTTCCTTGGATGCCATATTCACATTGATTTCTGGTATGGAAATCAGATGCAAGGGTTACAAAGAATTGTGTAAACCATCTCGACATAGTGCATCGGCAAATCTTCCAACACGAGAGGACCTGCTCGCTATAAAGGCAAATAAGAGGGTTCGTACTTAACTGATTAAATTTTTAAATAAACCTTCTTTACTTCTTTTGCTTCTCGTTTTATTTTGCTTACTGTTAAGAGAAGATTCAAAGGTATACATTTCTTCCGTATAGTGGTTGGTACATGGTACAGAAAAATTTAATGAAAATCCGCGAGAGGGAATCGCTAAACTTACCGAACATGGTCTTCTGGGTGGAAGTCCAGGCAATCCTGATCCAGAGAAAGTAGCCAAATTTTTGAAGGAGAATCCCGGGCTTGATAAAAAAGCTATTGGGGAATACATTAGTAAAAAAGAAAATAAAAGTGTTTTGAATTGTTTCGTTCACAGTTTTGACTTGAAGGATATGCGAATTGATCAAGCTTTACGTCTTTATTTAGAATCTTTCAGACTTCCTGGTGAAGCTCCGCTTATTTCCTTGTTACTTGAAAAATTTGCAGAACATTGGCATGTAAGTCTAATTTTCCCATGTTATGTATATAAATTAATGAGTATAAAAGATATATAAAAAAAAATTTTCGTTTAATCCTCAGGATAGTAATGGAAGACCGTTTGCATCAGCAGATGCCGCATTTACTTTAGCGTATGCTGTAATTATGTTGAATGTTGATCAACATAATTATAATGTAAAGAGACAAAATAATCCTATGACTGTTGATGAGTTCAAAAGAAATTTGAAAAAGGTGAACGGCGGTGCTGATTTCGACCAGGGAATGCTCGACGAGATATATGCGTCTATAAAGTAAAATTATTTTCCTTTTCGTTTTCCAATAATAATTGTCATGGTGTTTAGTATTTATAAATTATTTGTACGGCAGATTGTGCATTATACATTTCTTTTTTTTTTTTTTTTTTTTTTTTTTTGTTAGGGGCGAAGAAATTGTGATGCCTGCTGAACAAACTGGTTTGGTCAAAGATAATTATTTGTGGAAAGTTCTGTTACGTAGAGGGGTTGGTCCTGAAAGTTTCTACTTAAAAGTTGGAAATTCTGGTGAATTTGTAGATAAAGAGTTAGCTGAGGAGGCATGGGCTCCTATTATAAGTGCACTTTGCAGGGCGTACGACAAAGCGCCTGATAGTTCATTGCAACGTCGTGTCGCTGAAGCTTTTCACCGGTTGGTAACATATTTCGATTGAATCGAATTTAAATTAGGATCGAATTTAAATTAGGATCAAATTTAAATATTGTTTGTTTTTTCTTTGTGCTGCTATAGTTGCGCTTCCATCAGTGCTCACTATGGAATGACCAGTGACTTGGACACTCTCATAGTAAGTTTATGCAAGTTTACGGGCCTAGCGACTGGTGGTGAGCCCGACCAAGTAGTTTTACAACTTGGTGGAAGTAACAAATGTCAGTTTGCTGCACGCACATTGTTCAAAATTACTCACATACACGGGGATGCAATAAGAGCTTCCTGGAAAAATATCATCGATTGTTTGCAATCGTTATACAAAGCGAGATTATTGCCGAAGAGTTTGACCGAAGGGGAAGATTTTATCGATCCATCTGGAAAAATATCGTTACTTCGGGAACCAATTACACCGAAGCCAGCTCCGGTGGATCAGGGAATATTATCCAGTTTATATTCTTACATAGCTTTGGATACCTCGCGCATGTCTCATCCAGCGGAAACGACTGCGAGAAAAAGAGCTATAGAATTTATTGGGAATTGTTACCTCAAACAAATCATCGAAGAAAGCAAATTCTTGCAGGTCGAATCGCTTCGGTCTCTTGTCGGTGCTTTGGTGTTGCCAAACTCTCACGACGAGGATGTATCGGTATTTTTGCTGGAATTGTTGCTGGAGGTAACTATTCAGAATCGTGACAGAGTAGCATGCATTTGGCCAGTAGTTCAAGGCCATCTAGATGGGTTATTAACAACAGCCGCGCGTGAGAATCATCCATACCTTTTGGAACGGGTAGCCGTTGGAATGTTGAGATTAGCGATTAGGCTGTTACGGGGAGAGGAATGCGCGTGCACCGTGTTGCCACCTTTGTTGCCCTTGACTCATCTGCCTTCAGCTACGACCACGCCACTCGCCAGGCAAATTGCCTACGGTTTGTTCGAGTTGCTTAAAACCGGTGCTGCTAACATTCACAGCACGGAAGATTGGAAAGTGGTATTTAGTTTGCTAGAGTGTGCAGGTGCCGGGGCGTTATTGCCAAAACAGTCAAATACTGTATTGGACGAGGCAACGAATTCTAGAGCATCGATGTTGGATCCTAGACCGATTAGTCCTGTACCCGAATGGGTACTCGTGTCTCCAACAGGCACCGAAGCCCCGTTGCCCGTTGCTGCCGACACGATAGTCTTGGACCGAGATCTACAACCTCACGATCCTGCTGCGTTTGTCAAATGCTGTGAAAGCTTGACGTTTCTAGTCAGAGACGTGGCACACGTAACTCCGTTTAACTTCGAGTTATGTATACGTTGCGTGAGAACGTTCGCCGAAGCGGTGCTTCAGTGTTCAGGAAAAAGGAACAAAGTGCTCAGTCAAACGGACGAACCCGGTGCTGCAGCTACCGTTGCTACGTATCAACAGAGTCCTATACAATTGTTAGATTTGATGCATACGCTTCATACAAGAATTGCTCAAGTATTTCGATGGTGGGCCGAAGAAGGGAACGGCACGGAAAATGTTTCGCTGTGGCTGCACGTATGGAGGCCTTTGTTGCAAGGAATCGCGAGGTTGTGCTGCGACGCTCGTAGACAGGTACGCACCGCAGCCATCACCTATCTTCAAAGCACTTTGCTCGCTCACGATTTAGCTCAGTTGTCGGCAGTAGAGTGGTCTCAGTGTTTGGAACAGGTTCTGTTCCCACTGCTGGCTCAGTTACTTGGACCAATAGCGTCGAACGATCCTATTGGTGTAGAGGAGACAAGGGTGAGAGCAGCCATGTTACTGTCTAAAGTGTTTCTTCACCATTTGAATCCTTTGTTGACCCTCCCTGGATTTTTGCCACTTTGGCTAACCGTGTTAAGTTTACTCCGTGCTTACATGCACGCTGATAATAGCGAGCTTCTCTTCGAAGCTATACCGGAATCGTTGAAAAACATGTTGCTGGTCATGTCTTCCGCTAACGTGCTGGCTCCGACGTCGAATTTGTGGGTCCCGACTTGGAGAACGATCGATGCATTTTTACCTAATTTAAAGGCAGAGTTGTTCCCAGAGCCGATTATCCCGGTCGTACCAGTTTCACCAGAATCGCCTCAGATGCAACAAAAGTCGCAAGTGATCAGTTTGATCGAGCAACAGCAACCATGTTTCCCCGGATCCATAGCACCACCTCAACCGAAGCTTGACGTATCAGCCGAGGGTATGCATCATTAAGTGATTTAATTGAGAATATTATAATTTACATTATAGTTATAACGATATTGAGAAAAGTTGTAATCACCTAAAAATCTGACATTTCTTATGTTGTAGGTAATCGATCCTCATTAATGGCCGCCGAGTCCGAAGAAACATCAACAATATCGACGTCGACGATATCCAAACCATCATCGAACGAGGAACATTCCGATCGCTTGTCAAAATCGATCATTAGTGGAAGCAACGAATCAGAAAAGATTGTATTAGCGTGTGTAAAGAACGAATACGAAGAACGGAGGCAACAGCCAATTCAATATCAGCATGCTTTACTACGTTCGCAATCCGAACAGCATTTGTCATATAATCAAGAAACGGAACATGCTGGAACGTTGAATTCCTCTCTCCGCACAGATGCATCTCAGGTAAGAGATTAATTTGACGAACGAACATGTTGACTTGAACAAGTTAAACTATAAATCGTGTGTTTTCTTTTCAGAGTGTAGACTCGACAGCAACGACCATGTTCAATTCTGCGGCATATTTCAGTGAAGACCCGGCAGCGGATCGGCTATTCGCCGTAACTAATCCTTGACCACTGTACATTTATCATGTATATTGTACGATTGCTTTTCCAGAAGAGAAACGTTCGGGTGAAATTTTAGCGAGAAAGAGATCACTACACGTCACAGTAGATGGACCTTTCATATTACGATATATTAATAATAATATATAACAACGCATTTGATATTATTATTAATATATACATATACATAAACATTATATACATTATACGTATATATACATGAATAATAATATGTGTGGCACGGTATCGTATTTCGTGGAATTTTATTTTTATTGTCATATCGACAAAATAGTCGCGCGTCTTTACGAACGTTTCGTTCTTTTTACCGGTGTACCGCTACGTGTCAATATATCCCGGAATACGACGCGAATTACGATATCGTTGATCAAATTATTAGGAATTGTTCCTAGGTGAACAAATGATGGTAAATCGGTAATTCTTGCATCTGTATGATAGTAATTATAAATTATTTAATATACTTGTGGATACATGGAAGGCTGAGAATCACAGGGATGTAGACCAAGCTACCATTATTTTTCATAAAACAGATATGCGTTCATTATTATAAAAGTTTCATTATATTGTTTCAAGTTACGGGTGAAAATCAATTATTAATGAAAACTAAAACTACAACTCGATTGATTTTTATGATTTTCAGCCTATCGTGTACGTGTAGATACGTGCAGCTGGCAAGAGAATTCATCTTCCACGAGTTACATTTTCATTTTTCCTTTCTTTACATTTTATGCATGTACATACGAATATGTAAAATTTGAGATGCCTAGGCTCAAAAGAGGCGAACCAATTTCGCGTGTCATGCAGTAGTGACACGGCCTGTGATTCCCGTGGTTCGATCATTTTTGATCAATTTGTACATACTCGTTATATCTCAATTATAATATATAAAAATATCTCCCCTGTAAGCTTTGTAACTGAGACACAGTTGCAAGATTAATTTAAAAAAATTGTTATTCCAACAACGCTTTGATTTAACTAGACAATGTTGTAAATTGAGAAATGCGTTGAATAACATTCGAAGCAGCGGTGCTGCTTGAATTTCTGGAATATGCGTGTATCCATGTTTCTTATTTGGCAAATTTACGGATACTTGTGTCTCTCTGTTGCTTCTATATAATTATGCCAGGACGCCTATGACGGGTTTTGGGACCGTGTCGGTAAGGCAAGGGTAAAAATGATGAAGAAAAGAAACGTTCACCAGCCAAGACTTATCAGTGGGGGGGATTTCTGGCAAGAACTCTTGGAGTGGGATGGGCCTCTATTAGGCTGAGCATAAAAAACGGTCACCCATCCCTAGGGCCGCTGCCTGCTTAACCTGCTGATCGCCATCGATCCATCGGTTAGTTGCACTTGCGGCTCGTGTAACACAAGTATGCTTAGAATTTGTATATGACGAACGAAACAGATGAGGCCCTTATCGTCAACCTGGTTGCCCGCCAAAAAAAGGAGAGACTGAAATTGAAATTGAAGTGAGACAGTGGAGACTTGAACGCGGAGATCCGCAGTGACGTGGAAGACTCCAAGACGTTGGCAGACGTTGCACTTGTTTCAAAGACGGATTCAGGCACGAATCAGTTTGAAATCTGATTCCTTCTTTTGTTTTTTTCATGTTTTTCGTATGTTAATAATTAACATTCGCGTACCACACGTGTGTCAATAGACTATTTCACTTGATCGTACGCGTTGATGACGCAAGTATGAGGATAATTTGTCGTACATCTCTGAACGTAAAGCAGCTATAATTAGTTAGAGACACAATCGTCCTAGAATATACGTGACCGCGGTCCTCTGTTCGTGGACGTCGCGTAGCGTGATACCTTGTCTTTTTATTCTGCACAAGAAACCTAGGTACGCGACTTATTTTTAGATATTTACCTTTTTTTTTCCACGTACGTATGTCTGTTTGTTGTATATGATTGTATAGAAAAACACAAGATCAAAAATATTCTAACGCTTTCTCGTTTACGGTATTGTTTATTAATGCGATGCTGTATATATATATATACATATATATATATATATACACAGTGATTCTTATCAATTCTTGAACATCACGGCGATCCAGAAATTATTGCTTCGTAATATATTTGTTTATAATATCATTGTTTGTTTCTTTCTAAATATATTATTTAATATTTGTTTCACATCGAGCGATAATCTCCTCTCCCGCGTGGTGCCTGAATATTAATAAGAGTCATTGTAAACTCTTCTTTTATCATTGTTGTATTATCACAGATATAATTGATGTTTGATCGTAGAGAAGGAAAACGATATAGCGCGGCTGTAAAGTCATGTGTGAAAATTTACATCTATCTGGTACTACTGTGCAAGCGTTTGTTGTCCTACGTTCTACGCGAAGCTCGTATCGTTTCCACTTGCTGCACGCATGATCTGTATAAAATGTTCGATGAAGAGGTGTTCGAAGATCAATCGCATGAAAGTTTCTCGAGGAACGGGGAATCTTTGGTTCAAGACCGTGAGAGAAATAAAAATTTTTATCTTTCGCTTTGTGCCACCTTCGCATGTGACTTTCGCATTTTGCTACTGATCCTTTCGGCAGTAGTAGCCGAGGGTTTTACACTTCTGGCAAAGATGTTGCGGATGAACCTTACTCTGGTCAGACACGTCCAATCCGTCCGGCTTCTCCAACGGTCTCTGAAAACATGGGAAACGTAACGAGATTATGTAACATAATTGTGTTGATGCATCGCTGTGGAAATACGAACGCAACGCTCGACGAACTGGCAAAGAGCATGCTCTAGTAACGCGTATATTACCAGTACACGATTATATTTCGACGTTGTGCGTTGCTAAGAGTTAACTTATTCGGATTATATTGGAGAGAGAGAGAGGGAAACGCATTTCGCGTTATGTTGGCTTCGAAGCAAGTTTTCCCTTGGCGATCGTTTACGAATCGTGAAACACACTTCATACAAATTATTCTTGTCCAAATAAATTGTCTCTTGCGTGCACTCTTTCGTTCACAAAATCACTCTTTAAACTGTTAACGACTACTTTCTTTATAACTTGATGAAATTTAAACGAATAGTGCAACATTACGATAGAGTTGGCCGTTGATCCCTCGCGGATGAAACGCGGCGTTGTAAATTTTCGTTCATTTTCAAGAAACACGAAAATTGTCCGCGATCGAAGGTTTAATGGACGTTGACTCGAGTTGTTTTTCTCGATTGAATAGCAAAACTGTGTGTACAGTAAAACTGTGCACACTCTCACCTGTTTGTGAGGATAGACGTTTATGTGACATTTGATGCATTCTTGACCCATATTAGCCCAGCTGTTCCCGGACATCCACTTGCGCTTGCATTTGGGACACTTGTACTCTCCGAAGCATCGTTTCTTCCCTTGATACGGCGTCAAACCCTCTCCTTTCGGACGTGCCTGGAATAGACATTTATTTCTATAGATTTAGTAGAATAGAATGATTGTCGTTAGCGAACGCTAACAGAGAAATTGAAACTAGTCTCTCTTCGCGAGAGACTCGAAATATTGGATGACACGTTTCGTGAAGTATTTCACGACGCTGTTGTTGTTCTGTCCAAAAATAATACACACATTTGTGCAAAGCCAATGTGAAGCTGCATTCACCTGATCATTACCGAAGATCATGTTCTCCAATCGAGAATATATATATATATATACGCACGGGCAACATACCTGTGGACAATCTTTGATGTAGTGGCCTTTCTTGAAGCATAGGTGACAGAGGTAACTAGGCGGAGGCCTCTTAGCTGGTTTTCTATCTAGCAGTCCCAATTCTCTGAAACGATTCGCAAGCTCGCCGATATTATCCGCAAAGTTGCTGCCCCCGATCGCGCAACAGGGATCTAGCGCGCCACGGTGGCTGTGAGTTTGCGATGTCCCCGTTGAAAAGCCGCTCCATATCGTCGGGAAGAGTTTGCTCTGAAGTCACAGTCGGTCGTTGGGACACGTTATTGGACGAGCTGATTTTTACAAAACTTCGTGCACTTCGTGATCTTCACGCACGAAGTTTTTCAATGAATAAAGGTGGTGCTGTTAACCACTTGCGCTGGCAACCGATTGCGGACCATAACGAGCGACCAACGCCGTATACAATAATTTCGTCGCTTTCTCTTTGAACTCGTCGGTACGATATCACTGGATAGAAATTATCCGAGAAGTAACGAATTTATTATTCGTTTTGCCCATTTTGTTTCACTTAAATATACTTAAAATTGAGAAAATATTGCAATTTTAGGACAAGTAATCCTCGACGTGCGTGGCACGTCATTCCAGCGCAAGAGGTTGAACGTCGTTTTAAATCGCAATTATGTCAATAAGTCGATAATAAATTTTGTTAGTTTCTTAGTTTCCAAGCTATTTGGTGATTAAAAGCTACTTTGGTGTAACACACTTGAAAAGGGGGAACGATTTGTTAAGTTGTGGTTAAACAATTCTCTACTTTGTATTCGTTTCAAATATTTTTCGCGACTAACAGCGTCTCACGTTCATTCTTTTTTTTTTGTTTTTTTTTTTGTTTTTTTACCAAAAGCAAGTGTTTTGTCAAAAAGAGAGATATACAGGGGCGAACAGAGAGAGAAGAGAGACAAAGAGAAATCCTGGTAAAACCTGATCTCGTGTCTGAGGAGAATTCTGATCGGTGATGGCCAGGTAGACCCAATTGAGCAAATGGGGCGAATAGTGTGGTTGGTGGAGCGGCGGCTTCTGACCTTGGCTGCCGATAGCGTTCATAGCTCCAAGGCCAAGCTGCTGGGACGATTCCTGCGGCTGCAAATGTCGAATCGCCGGCGTTGGGTGACAAGCGGCCATGCTCGATGATTTACCGTCGTCTCTCGATTCCGATTATCACCTTCTCCAACGTGTTCGACGAACGTCCGTGCGACGATGACATTTTCCCGAGACGACGATATCGTTCATTCTCATCGGTGCATCTTCCCTGTCGAACGCGCGCTTCACGACGTCACTATTCTCTCTTCTTTTTTTTCAAACCCGCAGAAACTTTCGACGCACCGCTGGCAACGCTGCGCTGACTATTTCGTTTAAAAATACGAATTCGACACGTCCCGCTACATTCTCGGCGGCCAGTTGTTCCTCGTGATTAATTTTACGTCGGGCATCGAAGCACTGTTGACATTAAGTGTCAACAAAAGAGTATGACACTTCTTTTTCTCCAGACACAGGTAGAACACAACTGTCAAGTTCTCGGGTCAATCAAGCTCGGGGATCTCACTTTTCTCGCGTTTTCGTGAAATACGCCGCGTCACATTACGTCATAGTTGTTGGCGACGAGAGTTCCCATTTAGCTGATTTAACAGACCAGAGACTAACGAGTTTCGTCGGAACCCGAAACGAACGAGCGAATAATTATTTCACCCAGTTGAAACTCGCTCGATCGTGTAAGTTCGTCTCGTTCGGTACTGCGACACGTACCTAGAAGAAGAAGAAGAAGAAGAAGAAGATACGTGGCCTCGTGCAGGTGAATTAGAAGATCATCGCTTCATATTTATTGTCCCTTACTCCTCTTCTCCACTACTCTTGTTTTACACTTGATTACTTGTTGGTAGGTCTCGGAATTAATTCGACCATTGCCGAGTATTTATCTTACAACGTCCGTGCGTTGTTTCTCGACGTCGCTTGTTGATGACGATGTCACTGTCCTTTCTTCTACGTTTCTTTCTTCATCCCGATCGATTGGCGAGTTTCTCCGAATCGATGGATCAATGGCGAGAGGCGCGAGAAAGCGATTTTCGTGAAAGGCGTACTTCCGGAGTCGGCGACTACGTTCGCTCGCGGAGAGGGTCTGCCTCTGGCCCGAAGAACATCGACAATGTTGATCCCGTGAGCCGCGTGTACGTAAAAACGCATACACACGAATCTAACCAGCATTAAAGAGACCCCCGCCATGTGGTGAAGCTATTTCAGTGCTTGCTATCTATCTAACAGCTTGCCGCCACGAGTATTTCTCGGACTTCGCCACGAAGATCTTTACTTAGCGAAGATTCTCTCGGTTCCAGCGTCTCGCTTCCAACCGTTCATTCGATCCAGCCGAAATTCATCGGTGTTTTTTAAATCGTTTCGTTCGTCGCCCACTGACGTCGATCGCTCATTGTACAGTCGATTTCTGTCGTGAATCTTTTGAATGAATTGAAAATTAGGCAAATTAGAGCTGTAATTTGGAGCGTGAATGGATTTTAATAATACGTATGAATTAGTGAGAAATTAAATCACTGAATGCACTGGAAGCATCTTCCTGTAGAGAATCGATTTAGTCGTTTGTTTCAAAATTTTCGTTTCGAACACATTGCTCTTTGAATTAATCTTATTCTTGTTTCATGCATTTCGAATCCTCGTGTTTCCAAGTTTATCGTAAAGTTGGCGCGGAACGTAGCTATCGATAGATATATTTTGATTTGTGTGAAGCTTTTTAACCTAACTATTTCGATCCCTCTTTGAACGCAATTAGTCCGTGATATTTTTACTATTACAAACGTAATCGGAAAGATATTTAAAAGATTAAAAAGAAAATCAGAAAGGAAATACAGGAGATCGGTCGCAAATCGGTTTAACTAAGATGCAGAAGTATGAAACGATAAAAATTATAGGAGGAGGGAGTTACGGCGTGGTGATGAAATGCAAACATCGCGAAACCGGACAATTCGTGGCCATTAAGAGACTTCTGGAGACCGAGGGGGACCATCAAGTGCGAAAAATGGCGTTTCGCGAGATCAGGATGTTGAAAGTAAAACCCTCATCGAGCTAATAGGTTTTGTATCACGAGTACGAGAGCGAGAATAGAGGACAGCGTCTGTATTTGCAGAAATTGTGTCACGAGAACCTAGTAAATATGATCGAAGTGTTTCGTTGTAGGAAACGATTTCATCTCGTGTTCGAGCATTTGGATCACACGTTGCTGGACGAGCTGGAAATCGTTAAAAACGGTCTGGGCTGGGAGGTGTCCCGACGACACATTTACCAAGTCCTTCGAGGCTTGAGCTTCTGTCACAGTAGCAACGTAAGAAGGAGATTTGTAGCGAATGAATTTCAACTCGGAAGCTACAAACTTTCGATCAACTTCGCTTTTTATTAATTCTCATTCGAGCTTCTGGACGTAAGTTGCGCGTTCAGATATTCTGCCAGCCGAAAGTTTCAAACATTATAAAGCTGCAATACAATCTACACAGAGATTGTCGTCGTTACTTTTCTTTATTTCTCAATTTATGTACGAGAGTCGACATCCTTTCTTCCTCCAAGGTTCCAAAAGCGAGAATTACTGAAGCTTTCTAACGATTGTTCAGGCTTATCTTACACTGTAGAAATGTCCCGACTGTACTTGATGAATGAGGGTGTTGACTTTTTAAATCCTGGTTTAACTTTGATAGAAATTAAAAAAAAATTCCTGGCCCCCCCGGTTAGATAATGCATCGCGATATCAAGCCGGAGAATGTTCTGGTATCTCCGCACGGTGTTGTGAAACTCTGCGACTTTGGGTGTGCACGTTTCATAAATATCCCCGACGAGTCTTTCACGGATTATGTAGCGACAAGGTGGTATCGAGCGCCGGAACTTCTTGTTGGTGATCAACAATATGGCAAAGCAGTGGACGTTTGGGCAGTGGGCTGCCTTTACGCGGAAATGGTGACGGGAGATCCCCTTTTCCCTGGCGACAGCAACGTAGATCAACTCTATCGAATAACCAAAGTTCTTGGTAAGTGTTGCCGTCCAAATCTTCAAGAAAATTGTTCTCTAGTCGGAGATTCTACGCAAAGGTTTCTGTAACGTAAATATATTTATATTTCTGTAATTACATTTATATTGTTCTGTAAATATATTTACGTTTTGTGATCTTATAGACGTGAATCATGTGATTGTGGATCTCTACGTTCAATTTTTTAGGGAGACTGTGCACGAAGCATCAAACACTGATGGATCATGGCAGACCCGGTCGAATATTGCGTCACACGAGTATAGACGAGCTGACACCACCAAAACCACCACCAAAACCAGGTGTAACTTCGATTCGTATGTTATTTCCCACCTGGGACTCGGTGGCCATCGACTTTCTGCATTGCTGTCTCCGCATGGATCCCAATCTAAGATCTACGTCCTCGGCGCTCTTGCAACATCTACTCTTCGCGCATGATGATTTTACCGATAAATTCCTCGTACACTTGAGAAACATTATCGCCAAGGAGTCTGCCACGAATCCTCTCATGACTAAGAGATTAGTAGAAAGGAAACCGACCGAGTTTGAGCCCTTCCCGAGACAACTTCCCTGCGTCACCTCTCGGTACAAGCTCTTCTGTTATTATCTGAAACATAAATCAGTCGATAAATTAGTTGATAAACAATTATTCGTATCTCTAATTAGATCTTGGAGTTCATTGGTACATAAACTATTTTATTTTAAGTTTACACTTTATCTGGTGCAATTGTTATTCTCTAATTCATTAATCTGACAGTTAAAATAGTTCTGAGTATAAAATATTCTGTCATTGATTTGTCAACGTTTACTTTGCTGACTGCACTGCAACAGAAGAATTGGGTACTTGTCCTATATTTTTTCACTTTTTTTACTTTTCTCTTGTTGCATAGATGGCACATGCACATCGCCACGAAAGAGGCGACGACGAACGAAAGAACGGAGACCGAAGTGATCGAAACCGTGGAATTACATAAGGCATCGTCGACGTCGCGCGTGGATCCCTTAAAAAAAGTTTGTTATTACGATTCTATTTCCACCTCGCCGAATACAGCCTGCCTTCATAAACTAAAGAGACCAGTCGCTACGCAGGAAGACATGCATTCGTTGCCTCCTCTTGATTTCAAAGGAAACTTGTAGCTTCGTTCCTAGAAAGAAGAAAATAACCATGAGAAAGAAAACGAAATTTTAAATAGACCCGTAAATTCCTCATATACATCATTTTATTATTGTAATAGTTGCTAATCATGTTATTATTGTAATATGCATATTTATTACGGTAATGAAAGAAGCATTTGCTTGATCATTTATTTCGTCATTTTATTAGTAACTATATTAATTATTAGTAATCGTATTGATCGTTTTATTAGTATTATTGATATTGGACTATCGATCTTTCTATAATAATATTTAGAAAATCTTGTTCGCAAGTCGAATAATTTAAAGAATGTAAAAACTACACACATTTCAAGATTTTTTGATGAAAAAGACAAAGGCTACCTCGTTATTGTACTTGTATTTTGTAATTACATTTGTAGAAAGTAAAGTGACTAGTGTAATATTAACTGCACGATCAATTGTCTGTTATTTATAAGTGATACTATACGTTTAATGATTATATTGTAATGTGTGTGTGTATGTGGCATTTTATATAGTTTAACTTTATTTCTTTTTCCAAATACAAACGCATCTACATTGACACGAAAGTTGTGGTTATTTTATATTATTTTACGTGGATGTTACGTTACTACAATATTATTACTATGTATTAAATTTTATTGTACCAGATTGTATCATACTGCATTATTATATATATTTTACATTATCTTGAAATAAATCTCACCGTAATACAAGAGACTGTATTGTACACTTATAATATAGGAGAATATATGTAAATCTGTGCATTTGGTATTGCAAATTTCTTAAACAAATATTTAGCATCGAATATTTCAGAAATCAGAAGGTATTCCTGGCTGAAGATTTTCGAAAATATTTCTGAAATCGAAAATCTTGGAACTAGGAGATATTCCTGGCTGAAATTTTGGATTTTGTATCAGGATAATATGAGGACTGAGGAGGAGCCACGCCAAATTTCAACTGTGCTTCTGGTATTTACAATTTTTGGAAAATTTTCAAGATTCGCGTAAAGACGGAATACAGTGAAATAAGAGTTAATAATTAATTCTATCGGAAGAAAAACTCTGGACTAAAACGGCGCGAAAGTATTGCGAAAGAATCTACGTTAGGTATCTTTCAATTATCATGTAATTTACGTTTAAGCAAGTTACGCTACGTGTAAGTAGTTTAATCCACGATTTTAAAGGTGGATATATTTAACTCAGGAAATGAGTAATTAGTTAATTTAGAGAGTTTTCATTAATTCAGAGTTAATTTAGAGAGAGTTACGTGGCCCTGTTAGTTTTTTTGTATCAATCTGGACTCGTTCTCTAGATGGCAGCATCTCTGCGTCCAAAATTACGTATTAAATTTAGTTCCTATTCGCCGCTACGCGACCTTAATATTTGAATGTTCATAATTTGAACAAATTCTCATTTGCAAAAAAATAGAAGCAATTTTTTATTTTTAGATTCCCAGCTTTTTTTCTATGTTTCATTTAACTTGTAAAGTTTCCATCTAGCCAATTTGTATGAATAAAAACATGGTCCTATTGAGTGAATCGGTTGACACTTTTGTTATAACAATTATTCGTAAACTATGTGCAAAATTTGAATGAAAATAGCACGTAACTGTAGCTAAAAGTATAAACGACGATTTTTATAAATTATTTTGAAGCAGTTTGCGTAAAGTAAATGTGCAAGAATTTATTAATTTGATTAAATTGAGGGAGACTGATGTTGCGGGTAAGTGAAACGTACAATTTTTATATAGAAAACACTGTAAGATTCTTTTATCAATCGAACAAAAATAAAAAATATTTTCTTCAATGGTATAATAAATTTATCGCAGCGAATTGAAAAAAAAAAAGAATAGCTAATTACAGTAACGTAAGAATAATTAGAAGACTGTTCTATCAAAAATTTAACCAGAATTAGCCTTTCAGCATAAGTTCGAGAGCTCTTTTTTGAAAAATTATTCATCTTTCTCAGCGTGAAATTAATTGCACAAGACATCTATTTAAATAAGTTTTGCATCAAGGATCAACGTGCTTGGATGAAAAAATGATTTAAAATTATTCCAATAATATTCATTAATAATGAATCACGTAAGAAGGATTAGTCGCTTCCATCGAAAAGCCAATTTTTTCCTGCTTTTCTTAAGATCCATCAATTTCTTCCAATTTAATTTTGATGGAGACCAGAAGATACAATCCACAGTAAGAAAACTCCTGAAATCAAGCTCAATATCACACGCGGCTCTTCCTCGCGATTACAACATTTCTTCGCGATCGATGGAAAAACACGGGCTGAGATACGAGTCATTTTCATCGTTTTATTTATTCGTCTCTCGTGGATACAGAGTGGTTTGTTCGGTATAGAATTTTAATTACAATATCCGACATTATTTTATAAAAGTAAATACAATTGTATATCGTTAACAATAATAATGCGCGTAAGTCGATTAACACACGCTTCAAACGTTGGCTAAAGCATTCACGTTCACCGTAGGAATAGTTTTACAGCTATTACGTTCACACTTATTGGTTTTTTTTCTTTTTTTCTTTTTCTTTAAATACAGTATTTAATTACAAAGGAAGCCGATCGCGAACGCATTTCCAGGCTTATGTACAATTAATAATTATATTATAATATATTAAGCAGAGATCTCAACTCGAGGGGAGTTTTTTTCCTTTTTTTTTCTTTTCTTTTCTTTTCTTTTCTTTTTTTTTTCTCTTTTTTTTGTTGTAGGCCTTTCGCGAAACGGTTCGCGATCGCACGAGCAGCGAGCTTTCTTCTTCTTTCCTCTTTTCCCTCTTTCTTTCTTTCTTGCTCTTTGTTCCTCTGTCCGCTCGCTTTCTCGGACTTTAACAGAGATTTCCTTCGATAACGACGCGTTACACTCGCGATCGTCCTCCAAGCTTCTCTTCTTCTTCTTCTTTTTTTTTTTTCTTTCCTTTCCCTCGTTTCTCATTTTTCTCTCATTCTCGATTGCTAACCTAAATACTCTCCAGAGTACAAAAAAAAAACCAGACCGTTATACACGGGGGGGATTAACCCGTTTCACCTTACGATACACATCATTCGAACCTGGCACGTTTGTCGCAGAATCCAATACCGGCAAACAGAGAGCCAGGGAGAGATCTGGAAAGACAGGCAGGCAGCCAGCCAGGCATGCAAGTCAGGCAGGTAGTATGCAGGCAGGCGGACGGACGGACGGACAGATAGACAGACAGACAGACGGACAGATTAGACGGATAGACGGATAAATAGATAAATAGATAGATAGATAGATAGATAGGTAGGCAGATGGACAGATAGATAGATAGATAAATAGGTAAATAGATAGAGATGTACAGTAGAAATCCGTATCTATATACGCGAAGTTGAAATAGTATCTAAACCCTTAAAAGATAAAACTTCAGTTCAAGTACCGATTGATTTAGCGATTCTGCGAAGATCGATTCGCACGCATTCACAATTAATATCTTTGACTTTGAGCTTGCTTTTTCTTAAGAAAATAAATGAATTTAAACACTACTCGACACAGTTTTTCGAAATTCAAGCGGATCTTCCCATCAGTTGACTTTGCACATTTGAACGCGAGTTCGAACGAAATTTCAATGCGCTTATTCTGAACGTAAATCTGTAGCGCGTGAGTTCATTTTACTGCGAGTAAAAATCATCGTGAGAACAGACACTGTTCGCTTTCGCTGTGCGAATTCCAATTAAATTAATCGCTCGTACGTTCATGCAGATACGGACCTCCACTTGTACACTATCGTCAACTCTAAACGGAACTCTACGCTACGCTATTGAAGAAATGTCGCGTTAACGCTATCACGGATGAAATTTCACCCGGTTGAAAAATCAATCAAGTCGAGAAAATGCAATTCAGCGTTTTATTATTACTTAATATTAAGTTGGAAAGTAGAAAAGTTATCGTATTTATATATTTTTATATATAGTAAGATTCTCGTGGAGTGTAATTTTACCCGTGATAGGGGTCAATCTCTCGATTATTCGCGTTGTCAATTGTTACACACTGAATCTCGTAGAAAAATTTCAAATTTTTACAATTTGAAAGTTTTGCTATCACGCGGTATTGGGAAGAGAAAAAGAAAAAAAGAGAGAGAGAGAGAGGAGAGAAAAGAGTAGGAGTAAAAGGAAGAGAAGACATGTGGCCGAGCACGATCGTAAAGCCTCCTTGGGATTACACCCATTGAGAACCAAGAACTTCTAAATCTTCAAAATATTAAAATTGACAAACAATCGACATCAATTTATTGCCTGATGGTAGTCATTTTCTTGGCTCTCGACGAGTTGAGCGTGTGCGAGCGCATTGTAGAAGCATCGAGCGAAACAAGGAGGAGGGAATGAAAGGCAAAATAAGCAGGGAATGGCTGGTCAAGTCGCGATGCGAGTAAAAATATTCTTTGGACGGGATTTACGGACGTTGAATGTTTCAGAGATCGTAACGCTCGTATCAAAGCTAGATCGAAATGCGATTAACTAACGTGGATAACGTAGAATATACGTGGATCCTCGCGACTACGATCCTCTTGCACGATAATTTACCAAACTAATAATATTAGTGAGTCTTCAAGCGAACTGGAGAGTTCTTCCTTTTTTTTCTCTTTTCTTCCTAATAATATTAGTTCGATCGAGTAAGATGGAATCGAGTCGTTCGATTCAATTTCTGAGTCGAGAGAAGAAACAAACAATATAATCTCGATGACGAGGCGTTCGATCAATTTCGTTTGGAACGTGAACAGACGCAGCACTTACCAGCGCTGTTCAACTGTCTTCATTCCCGCGGTATTTTCGCGAATCCGACCTTTCGAAATCTGAACGAAAAGTTAATTCCATAACCAGTCTACGCGGTTTTTCACTATCGTTCGTAGAAACACTATCGCTCAGGGGTTACAATACAACATGCGAGTACAGACTATGCGGTAACTAACTTTCAAACGCGAATTCTGACAACTCGCGTCACATTTTCAAGTCTTTTTCTCGCTTACGGTCCTCATCGTCGTCGTCGTCGCTGTTGTTGTTGTTGTTGTCGTCGTCGTCGTCGTCGTCGTCGTCGTCGTCGTCGTCGTTACTTAGACTGCGGATTTTCACGCGTTCAACAGGGAATTTGCAATAGAAAGCATAGAATGCACATGATATGGAAAAATATTAGGTCGTGAACTAAATTTGACTCGCGTGTTTTTTTCTTTTGAACAATGGTGAAATTTAGTTCACCACCGAACATGCAAAACATTCAAAGTACAGTACTCGTTACGTTACGTTAGATGAAACAATCCTCTCTATCTTTAGTTCTACCTTTCCAATGATATTCACAAAAATATATGTAAATTTGCACAAACATCCGCAGTCCGGTCACATTATCGTTACAGTCTGTGGTATTTCTTACTTTCCCACCAAACTACCACTGCTGCTGCTGCTTCTCATTCTCCTTTCGTGCTCTCTCTACCCCTATCCACCCTTTTCTTTCCATTCTTTCTCCTCAGTTTCGTTCTCAACACCCTTCCTCCCCGACGCTTCTCCTTAAGATTTCCCTCCCCCTTTCCTTTCCTCATCCGTTCCTCGCGTCCACCACAGTCGTTTCGCAAAACCACCGA